TGTGCTCCACCCTGCATGCTCCATGCACTGCTTTTAAATTAGCTTGTGCATTTATTGCAGTGTGTCAGGGCACACCCACCTGACCCAGGTCCACCCAGACCCACCTGGCCACACCTCACCTGCTCCCCACTGTCCATCCCTCTCCTTCCTCCCTCCTCCCTCTCCTTCCTCCCTCCTCCCTCTCCTTCCTCCCTCCTCCCTCTCCTTCCTCCCTCCTCCCTCTCCTTCCTCCCTCCTCCCTCTCCTTCCTCCCTCCTCCCTCTCCTTCCTCCCTCCTCCCTCTTTCCCTCTTTCTTCTCTCCCTTTTCTCCTCCTTTCTTTATTTCATTCTTCTCATCTTTCTCTTCCTGTTTATTCCTTCTATCTACATGGACCACTTTCCTTTGTATCAATGTACTATTGACCTGTCTGGCCCACACACCCCGGACGGCTTCCCACTGTGCCCAGCATGCACGCATGCAGCAGACACTCTTGGGATCCCCCATGGGGACACCCAGATGGCCACAGCTGTCTCTGAGGATGACGTGGCACCCGTCATGTGACTCAAGCCGCATGTACATAAATGTACCTGAAGTGGGAACCGAAGAAGTAACCTTCTTCTCACATTCTCCACTTCAGTCTGAGTGGCCAGGGACTGCTGTCCCTTTCCAGTCCTGCCAGTACACATGCCCGGTTTGCACCCCACGAGGGCCCTTCTGCCGGGCGATACATCCGGACCCCCTCCACCCCGGGCGTGTCCCTGACACGGTGCTCAATGTAGGTTTGAAAGGTCAGTTGAGGTTCCAACCTTGGTGTTGACTCCTGCTATCCTCAAGCTGTCAGAATGTAGGCAGTATAGAGCTATGATTCAACAGGGGAGAAGAGTGAAAACCTGTTTCACCCTTCCCCGCATTTTATATACATTGTTTACATCAAGGAATAAAAAGTAATAAACAATGAATAAAGATGTGTGCTATGCACACATCTCCACCCTGAGACCCATCCATTCCTTACAGTGGAACAGGATGAAACTCGGGTGGTGAGCAGTTATCATATTTATCTTGGACCAGTGTTTTTTTCTAATCAATAGGATTGTTTTTTTGCTTTTTAATTTAGGCCACACATTCATCATGGTGCTCAATCGGCAGGAGCAAACATAGTGTTGTAAACACGGCATTCCAAATATGGCAACCCACTTCAGCGGTTCACTCACAACCCAGATGTAATATAGAAAGAAATATAACTGTAACTAACTAAAGAACATACAGTGCTGAAGCACCCATATTTATACTTCTCAACAATATTCCAGGCTCTTCTATGCCCAGTGCTTATGCAGGTGCCTAGTAACCCTTAGAATATTCCCGGTTATTCCGGTTATTCCGGTTCAGTTTCATCATGTGACTCATATTCCAACACATAGGGTGCAGCAATGTTTCACATTGCAAAGCCCCAAGGCTACTCACTTGATGCTGAATCCTGATGGGGAACTTGGGGATCAGTTATCACCTCACTCAAGCGAAGAGTCTCAGCAGCACAGGTATGGATGCAAATTACTACACCGTTGGAGCTGTGTCAAGTTGATTTGATTTGACATCACCCAAAATGCGGTCCTAGTCACACCAACAGCAACAGGCATAATTTCTGTGTTGTAGAGACTAGTCAGTTAGTGACATAGCGCTTGCGGCTACACTTGCACTATAACGAAGGGACCTGAGGCAAGACCAAAAGATGTTCTTTATTAAGCCTAGCTAATTGTGTATTTATACTACATCGGGGCTATGCTATAGATCAACAGATGCACAGTCACATCAGGGAGGCGGTGTCGGAATAGTGGGATGTTGGTCAACAGCACAGCGTCAGATGTGGGATCCCTACTATGACTTGTATTCTAACATGCTGTCATCTTTAACGAACAAGCATTAAGTAGGACTGCCATCAAGCACATAATTACATGCAGTACAGGGAGGCAAAGAATGTAGTGTCAGGGCACACACCCTGACCTAGCCCACACCTGCACTCACACCTGCACTCGCACCTGCATCCGCATGCACACCTGGCCATTGCACCCCCTGTGTGTGCCCTGTGCTGGACGCTCCGTGCAGCCGGATGCCCTGGGCCCTGGGTCTCGGGCCTCATGTGACTTCCGGATATCTCCAGAAGTTTTCGATTATATTGGGCCACTGTGGGAAGGTGAGAAGTGAGCTTCCTTCTCACCTTCTTACCCACAGCAGTGTGCCCTGGACAGGGCTGTGTCCCTTTAGGTTGTGGGCCATGGGGGGGGTCACAGGGACCTGTGAGATGTCCCCTGACATGTAGTGGGGAAAGAAATGTTGGAAGAGGCAAAATTTGTCCTGTAATTACAGCAAAAACCGAAATAGTAGAGAAAAGTTTACAAGCGAAGAACCCTGATGTGCTTAAATTTGGAAGGTCAACCCTGATTCACATGCCGCTGTTGCCATGCAATGGTTTGAATTGATATCGAAGGGTTATAGAAAAAAGATTTTCAAAGGTGTCATGATTGGTGCTGGTTGCTGTCAGGGCTCGGTCCTCGATCAGGGACAGCCCGACCTCAGTCCTAGGTGTGTGCAGCGTTCCGGGTGGTTGGGCGCTAGACCCTGTCCTCAGCTCCTCAAACTCACTGAAGGGACTAAGCGGGGATTGAGTTGTCATGTATTACAGAGGGTAACTACAACTTGCCTAAGCGGGGATTGAGTTGAGAAGAAGGGTAAGTTTCCCTATTCCCCGCTTGGCTACTATAAAAAGGAAGTGTACTGTACAGTTCATAACGTGACTCCGGGTAGAAGCTGAGCATGTTCCCACGACTCAGGAAAGGTGTCACATGGGTTAAGGCGAGTTGCTCACCTTAACCCACGTGATTTTTCCCCGCGGGCTCACATGCAGGTTGAAGTTGTGAGAGGTATGTAGGGATGGGGAGGTCTGGGAAGTGGGGGAAGTCTGGGAAGGTGGTTCTGGGGTGTGGTTGGGTGCCCTGACAGCGGGGTCAGGGGCCGATCCCTGACAGTTGCCCAGCAGTTTGATTGTGGTTACAGATGTTGTCATATCCATGCATACTCGATCCCGAACCGACTCCTGGACCTCCATCTTCACCACCTCTGGAGTGCTGTCCGTTCCGATATTCACCTTCGGTCCTGACACCACACCTGACACCACACCTCCCCTCACCCCTCATGCCACCTCCACCCTCCCATCCTTCTCCTACCCTATCCCCGTTCACTCCGATACTCATCTCGGACCAAACATCACTCCTCCCACTCCTCCCACTCCTCCTCACAACACCTCCACCCTTCTGTCACTCTCCTACCCTTCTCCCATCTGCTCCGACACTCACCTTTGGACCTGACACCTTTCCTCTCCTCCACTCCTCACCCCTTTCCTCTCTCCTCTCTCTTGCCTCTGACCCTCTTCCGCCGACCCTCTGCCAAGCTACGACCTTTCGCCGCTGTCCCATACCCCGTACTCGGACACCACTCGTACCTTTGCTCTGAGACTCCATCATAGTCCCTACCTCGGACTTTGACTCCACCTCAGCTTTAGTCCATTGCATTGGTGACCTCTTACTATGTAAACACCATTGCCAATATTCCTCGGACTTTCAACCCCACCTCCATAACCTCCATAAGCTCTGCAAGCTCCAAGCTCCACGGATCATCTTTGGCACTTTCATTGTAATGTATCTTTCACATTTCCCCCTCACCCCTATTTGGACTGCTGCTTCTTCCCATTCTAGCCAGTTAGTCATCATCCCCACTTCCCCTCATCCTCCTTCCCCTCTGGGCTTTGCCCTCCTTACCTCCTTTCAGATATACCACAGGTTCTGCCCTATGACCTTTGGTACCACTCCGCTTCTGTCATCCCTTTGTTCCCGTTTGGACGCCTTCGTTCCAATTCAGACCCCCTTTGTTTCCTTGTGCCTTTGCCCTCTCCATTATATATATCGGCACTTGTACATACTCGTTTTAGGCCTGTAGTCTAAAATCGACCTGAAATGCCCCCTAGAGACTTCCTGCTCGCTGCCTATGAAATTAAGGACCAAATGGACAAACATCAATGGCACAGCGCTCCGCTTGAGTCACTGAGGCCAAGGTCCCTCCTTGCTAAGTCTCCAGTTCCCCTCTGGAATCGTCTGCCCTCGCCCAGTTCTAACAGATGTGTAGCATGTGGGTTACCTTGGTTTGACTCTCAGTTATGGTGGTACATTTTTTTTGTTTGCCCTTAGCAAGTCAAACTGCTGGATAGCCATTAACACACCAAACAACTTTTTGGGATTTGTGTGAGGGGCTGCAGAGATGTCACGTGGCAAGAGTTCAACACCAACTTGCCAATCTTGAGTGAGGGAGGGGAAAAAAAAAGAACAACTACAGTGATACAACACAGAATCAAACCAGAGCACCATCAACAGCCATCCATGCCTGACAGCCACTTAGCCACTTAGCCACTTAGTAACTAGTACCGATTTAGTTGTTTTGGTAATTTTATTTCCTACAATCCTTTAATATCAATTCAACCTAAGTGCATGACAACAGCGGCACGTGAATCAGGGCTGACCTTCCAATTTAAGTGGATCAGGGTTCTTCGCTTGTGCACTTTTCTCTACTATTTCGGTTTTTGCTGTAAACACAATTTTAACTGGAAGCGCGGTACATACGCAACTATCCAAAATGCGGGATGAATGATGACCAAGATGGGGTCTGGTATAGGCTGGGCAGAGGTGAATGCAAAGAACTGAGGGTGAGAACAGCATGATCATCAAGCCATGCGACACAATCCCCAACCCATGCCTTAACCCATGCGACATCCACAACCCATCCAATCAAGAATAGAAAGACAGGAGCTGCTGTGATATATATCGCTGAAACCCGCCATAGAATCATCTCCGTGCATGTTGGAAAGGGAAACGACCATGCAAGGCAATGAATTCCCCCAAAGATCATCCCAGTGGCTGCAAATATCGACATGAATTCCAACCCCTTGGGCTCATCCACCCACATGAGGGACATCGGATCTGCATCAGTCTCCGTTTTCGGTGTTTGTTGATCGACACTCATCTCGGAAGTCAGAAGAACAGAAGGGGACTTTTGCATCACATGGATTGGAAATTGAACGTTGATGGGTTTCTCCCACCACAACACGTAAACAAAGATATATAATGCCACATATGCCAGTGCCATTGTCTCGAGTTGCGATCTGTGCAAATGGTTTGCCCATCGTTCGGCATATTGAGTGATAAACCAGAGTAGTTGGAGGACAGTGATAATTTTGGAAAACGCATCACCTTTGCTTCTGTCAAGAATTTCCTTCTGTGTTATTGCGACCTTTCTAGTATCCCCGGTGTTCTCAATTATGCTGGGGTATTGCTGCAAGTGATTCGGGCCCACAACGCTTCCTTCTGACAGCTCGAAGAAACCATTCATGACAACAAAGTATGAATGCGTCAAGGTCCACCCTTGTGGCAAGTAGTCAGTGCTCCATCCCTTCCTAACTTGTTTTCCCCTCAAATTCTGGGCGCACCTTCAACCATCTCGAATTTTTCTGATATTTTTCGAGATATCAAAAATTGGTCCCATGCAAGCACCAGAGTGAACTCCGGTGAAACCAGTGACCAGATCATCGTGACAATGCGCAGTATAAACACCAAGACATTATCATCATAAGATTGTGGTAGATCTGGGTGCACTGCTGTCCAAACGCAAGCAAATACAGTAAGGAGGCAGCTATAGACGATGCCCCATATCATTCGGTAATTCCGGGGATCGTTGTAACCATCAGATACATTTTGCAGGAAACAAGTCGTATTGTGAGGGGGGATGGGCGCCGAATAAACATTGTAGGCAAGAAGAATGTTGATAAGAGCCGTTGCCATCAGATCCGGCTCGAATGGGGACGTACAAACGCATCAAATACAGGTCGAGTATAAGCTTTATAATGTGAAGTGGGGGATTGCTGGTGTTCAGCGCGTTATCAGCCATGCGGCAATTCCAGGGAAGTGAAATTAAGTTACCGTGCGTCATTCACTTCGAACAAATTTCAAATTTGACTCTAGATTCAGTCGGTTGACTGTTGCGATGACATCCTTTCAATGGTGCGCGGTCATGAAAACCAGGGCCGGTTCGGGCCCTTGGGGCACTAGATATAGTTATATAACCCCCCAGGAAGTGTTGGCTCAGTCATTGCCATGGTCTCCTCACACTCGATGCGAGAAAACGCATTTCCCGCAAATTGTAGAGTTAGGTCCCTTCCCCACATCCCCGAAGGGGATAGGTTAGAAACTACATAAAGGGTGAATGAACCCCAGTCTTATTGGCGTCTGGCACATCCTTCATGACTTACAGGACGCTGGCCACTCTAAGCTGTACTGGGAATTCCACACCGCGCTAATGATCATGTACTGAATAACTTCGTATACTATCACCTTGGCGGTGCTTCTTTACATCGGCAACGCCATCAACAACCTTCCTTGACACTGGCCATCTATCGCTCCTTCATACGACATGGCTCAGCTTCGGTTCTCGCCGTCTATTGCTACCACAATGACTACCGGGTCGAGCTCGCGGACTGCCGTGAAGCAACTGTTCTCCCTCTCACTCATTCCAACTAGGACGATGACAGAGAATACGTTCTCGTGCTCGCACTAGTTTCGATTCACGACAATTACTCGGGCGCTGGATGCTATAGATTCCATATTTACATGATTGACTATTGTCGTAGCTTCAGAGATTCAGTGCAAGCGCTGTACAATGAAATGGGAATCCTTTCCGAGGAGGCCACTCAGGGATTATTGTTCAAGTCAGTCCGAGATCTGTGAATTCACCTGATCCCAGCTGATATGTGCGTTTTTTTTTTTTGCAAATGGTGGGCATCTCTCGAGCTCAGAGACAATCGTCGGGCCAACATGCTCCATGATATCCTGCTTCTACTGCACCCTCCGGCACCACACCCATCACACGCACTCGGTGTCGAGACATGTCGATGAGTAAGGGTCAAGGCCAATTCTTCTCGACGGAATAAATCTCATCGGCTCCGACTCTAGGAGTGAGCGCCAATGCATCGCCCTCAGCACACCCACAAAAACCAACCTCCAAACCAGCAAATCCCCTTCCTGCCCCAGCCTCCCCCAGCAACAATCGGTCGTACAACCATCACTCTAGAAGACCCAATGCTAGCTAATGACCCGAACCCTCGAGCACTGATTCCCCTGCACAAGCTGCAATGCTGGGGACCCCATTGACTGGGGCGCCGAGGGCTGGCGAGACGATTGGCAAAGGCAGGTTCTCTTCTTGCTATTGGGCAGAAGATGATGACGCTGCCTCCTCACATGCGAGGGACTCTGGAGGCTCCCATCGGGTGCGTCATCGTCGCTTTCGTTTAGCCATCCATTCTTGCTCACCCTAGGTGATTTTCAAGCCTTCAATGTCGGCACCGCCCATTGAACACTTTCTCGCATCCTTCCATCTCTCGATCTCTCCTGGCTGATTATATGGACCTTGCCGGTATTGGTGAATAAGTACTTCAGTGCGGCTTGTTTGTGGGATGGATTGAATGAGATGATGAATGTTACAGGCGCCGTAAAACCCGAGATGATGAGTTATCTCCCTTTCCGAAATGCTCGCCCAACTTCGGACCGTCGTGACCTCTTTCGTTCCTGTTCCCCCTCGCGTAATCCTCGTGCCTTGACTCGAGGATCGATGTCCTCGTAATCATGTTCAGCACGATGCGTCTCAGCCCTGTCATTCTTAGGGAACTCCAGTCGATGGCTGATCCAACCAGTGTCATTATCAACTTCAAGTGCAGCCTCCTTGCCATCCTCACCCGTTTCTTCGGGCTTTGTATCATCTTTTGCTTGAAGGTCCCTCGACATGCGCATCCTTCAGCCTGGCTTTGAACCGGTCAGGAGCGGCAAGCAGGGCACTTTCATCCTTTGCTTTTCCTTTTCCTCCAGCAGCCCGTTTCCCCTTGAGTATTTTGCTAGTTGAAGAGAAGGCCCCAATTTGGTCCTTTTCGGTTCATCCTCGGAGTCACGACTCACTCGGCTGTTGCGCATGGGGCATTGCTCAGGCTGGTCCAGTGATGTAATATGATCAGTCATTTGATTGGGTGTCTTTTTGGGGAACTGGAGATCGTGCGGATCATGCAGAGCGACCAGTGCATTTGGCCAAGATGGCAGCGAAAGCGGGAGTTGGCAAAGAACCGCCCAGGAAGCAGAGCGAAGGGCTCAAGAAGTCCCTTCATTCACTCACCGGACGCCGGTCAGAACCTGAGAGATCAGCTGCAGATGGTACATCTTTTGAGCGGGCGAGGGGCGAAGCTTTGGCAGCACCGGGGTGCCAGGTACGAAAGTTCGTGTTCTACTATGCTACCCTTCTGATGAACCCTTAGGAGTTGTTCCGTTCAATCTCGGTGTCATTCAAGGCCCCACCCCTACGGCCCTGCCAGTCGCGCCAACCGCGCCAAATTTCAGGTACGAAAAGGGGAAGAATGTGTGGGAATGGTGTGGGGAAAGAAACGGTGTTTAATGCTGGGAGAGGTGAAAATCAAACGGATTGCGAGAGTCTTTTAATTTATCCCTACGTAACTTGTGATCTGATGGTTTTTAATCTGGCGCATCTAGGTCATACTCGAATGTAAACAATGGTAATAAAACATACAAATATGAAGCACGGTACATACATCTATCCAAGATGTGGGAGAAATGCGGTCCAAGATGGGGTCTGGTAAAGATCAGGGGGGGGCGAACGCAGAGTGGTGATGGTAAGAACAAGCAAGATAATCCGGGCAATGACGTAAGAGGCTTCCATGAGAAACCCACATACTCTGGCTACGTTAGAGCAAAAATCAACAGCCTGGTGACGAGTTATACAAAAGAAAAAATTTCCAAGAGCAGAACGATAAGTATCGTCTGCAGGGAGGAGAGTGATCCGTCGTGTCGACATGTGCAAGGCATAAGGAATAGGGCACGCCACAATAATTATCGCTGAAATCCGCCACAGAATGGTCTCCCTGGGTGTTGGAAAGGGAAATGACCACGCCAAACAATGAATCCCCCCAAAGGTGATGCCCGCGGCTACACTAGCCCAAACAGGGCCATATCCAACGATCTCCGCTAGAGTGAGATTCTGAACTGCCCCCTTCTCCACACTGGGCTCTGGCTGATCGGCATCGACGTCCCTGAAACTCGGAGGATCGAAACAGCTGGAATCTTTCGTCACACGGATCGGGAGTTGGATGAGAGTAGGTTTATGCCACCACAACACATAATCGATGACACTTAGTGTTGCATACGCCAACGCCATTGTCTCGAGTTGCGAACTATGCAAACCGCCCGCCCATCGTCCGATATAATGAATGATAAACCACAGTAGTTGCAGGATAACGATAAATTTCGCAAACCAGTCCCCTTTGCTTCTGTCAAGAATTTCTTCCTTTGCTACTGCGACCTTACCAGCACTCTCGATTATGCCTGGGTATTGTTTGAGGACGTCCAGAGGATTTTCGTTCCTTTTGGGAATCACTGCTCCTATGGATGGGTCGAAGAAGCCACGCATGATGACAAAGAATGAATGCGTATCCGTCCATCCTTGTGAAGAGTAGAGATCAGATTCTTGTCTTGTGTATTTCTGCTCAAATTCAGGGCACACCTTCGATCATCCTGCAGCCGTTTGACACTCTCCGAGCGTCCAAGAGATCTCCCAACGCTCCCCCCAGAAGGACCTCCGGTGCAACCAGTGAAAGAATCATCAAGGGGCCACGGGACGATCCAGGATGTTTGAACAGGGAATAATTAGGCTTTGGAATATCTGGGTGTATGGCCGTCCAAATGCACGCAATAATCGTGAGGAGACAGGTATAGACGATATTCCACATAGTTTGACAATTGCGTAGGTCATTGCAAGCATTAGATATATTTGGCACTGAGAGACTCGTGGTGTTATGAGGGAGAATAGGCATTGCATAAACACCATAGGCAAGAATGGGTACAGGTACAAGGACACCATATTTTATAGATTGAGTATAAGCTTTATACTGCCCCTATGTTTAATGCTGTGTTAGCCATGCAACTTCCTTGAGGCAAACTGGTATGAGATTCCGAATTACATATCCACAGATCTTTGATGGATCTGCCAAGCTCAATGTGAGGTGCCTAGCCGATGATCAAATGGGCGTCGGACTTAATCTTAACTGCCGTGACTGGGCTCAGTGGATTCAATTAATGCAGTGTCTCCGGAAATGGACTTTCCTATATCGGCAATGTGATAGGTTCCTATGCAGTCGCACGCAATCATCACATGGATCCTGAAGCATCTGAAAATCATACCGTGGGGCCATGCGCGCGTATCCGACATCGCCAACCCAAGATCGGACAACCCATACGTAACGACTTGAGAGTGGAGCGAGCAGCCTATAGTTTGCAGGATAAATATCCAGAATAAACAACAACAACAGCGCCTCATTCAAATTCAAACAAAACAAATTTCCCTTTAGGCTTAATTTGCTACTTTTTCGAGTTATCACCAGCCCCATTTGTCCAAATCGCCATGCGCACCGGCTTTTTTTTTTGCATAGCCGTTGTCATCAACTTTGAACCCCCCTCCCTGATTGCGTGCGTTGGAACTTGCGTCACGTCGTAGGAGCAGAAACAATTGATCCCGCCTTTGATCAATTTCCCAGGAACTACCAGAGAAAAACGGGGGAACCCTGGCTGGAATGCAACTTACGAATCCCCGTGGGGGCACTGGATGGAAAGGCAAACCGCAACGAGGAAGTGTGAGAAGCACATCATGCAATTCGAGAATTAAACACCACAGATACATGCGTGTCTTGAACACGCGCCAGCATAGAAGCGCAGTTAATGAATTCACTCCACTCCGTATCAGTCTCCTGAACTATTCGAGAGAAGTGATCAGCCAATACTACTAGGGAATCCCTGTCAGTGGATGTCGCCTCATAGCTTTCGAATCACCAAGCCCAGCGAATCCCTACTCAGTCCTGGAGCTTGAACAAGCACATTCTGTTTTCGAATCCTAGCCATAAGGTAACTCCTGCATGCCTTAAGCAACTGAGAACTGCCAGATCCCCCCAGCCTGTCACTGCCCCCTGCTGCGCATGTTGCATGTAGCAAAGGTTTCCAGGCATCAACGGCATGTTTGCAGAGTGCAAGTCAAGTCGACCTTAAATTCAACAGCCCAAATGTAGCTATTGCGCCATATCCAATGATTCAGGCCATAGCGACCCATGTCGATTGTCGACCGGCACCATCTCGAATATATTTGTGTCTCCTGTGGCAGGCACGTCAAACGAGAGACTTACCCACTGCTCCCTTTGGGGAGACTGCCTTTTAACAATCTGGACTTTGGTGGTGTTGCAAGCGAAATGTCCGTTGTCGGTCAGATAAGCAACCTTGTGGATTACCGGGTTGGAAACGGAGGCGAGTTATAACCTACAATGATCAAGCGGTCATTGGTACTCGAACATTGGCGAGAAAACCCAGGGTTGAAAACGGAAAACATCACCTTCATTGGTTGAATTTCTGTTATTTCTGTGCATTTATACCAGAGGCCCCACTCTTACAAGCAACCTAACACACCCAGAACGGATTTGTACGGTCATGAGCCCCACGCATAAAGCGACAGAAAGGTAGAGCAGCTAAACCCACATACGAACTTCCATACGAAATACGAGAGAGGTGGACACGAAGTCCTCATGGACATGGATCTGATGCAACAGACGATGCACCTTGTGCTGTTGTAGATGCTGCACCGAGAACATGGTGCATATCGATTCTCTGCCCATTGAGGCGGTGATGTGCATGAATTTCGTTAGTGGTGGAAGCACAGTGTCACAGGCATTTGTTGACAGTGACGCTGGCATCCTTGTTGAGGTCGAGATGCATGGCTAGTATAGACCTTCTTGTCTCCTGCAGCAAAATGAGAACGGCTGAAATGCACCGAACCCTTGTATCACGTGTGGCAGAGGAATCCCTGGACGGTTGCACGGGTTCCGGACATCAGGCCTGACTTAAGTATATGTGAGCGTTTCTACTTGGCTCCAGCCTTGCCGTGAAAGTCTTAAGCGGTCCTCTGACTGAATTCGTATCCGTGGCCTTCAAGTTGTTCGTGCTGCGAATATCTTGATAGCGTGGTCCTTCTGTGGCAACGACTATGGAACAACAATTAGTAGTTCATCGCTGTTGAGCAGTCCTATCGGTGTCTGGCACATTCTTCATATTATTTACAGAACGCCCGTCACTCTAGGCAGTACTGGGAGTTCCACACCGCGCCAACAAGTTGTTCTAAATAACCTCACCTTGACCGTACTTCTAGATATCCCCTACACCAGCAACGTCATCGACAACCTTTCCCTCGACTCTGGCCATCTATTGCTCCATACAACATGGCCCAGCTTCAATCCTCGCCGTCTACTTCAACGATCACCGGATCGAGCTTGTGGACTGCTGTGGCCGGGACGCCTCCTTTGCAGTTCCCTCCCACTTATCTCAGCTGGGACGGTGACAGAGGGTGCGTTCCCGTGCCCATACCAGTTTCGGCTCATTTGGACTTTTTTCGGTTCATGACAATTGGGGGATGCTATAGATTGCATATCTACATGATTGACCAATGTCGTAAGCGCGACTTCAGAGATTCGATGCAGGCTTTGTACAACGAAATGAGAAACCCTCCGGAGGAGGCTACTCCCCCTATTGATGCACCTCAGGGATTATTTTAGATGTGCGTATTCCAGCTGAAATGTGCTTTTTGCAGATGGTGGAAAGTGTTCTCAGGTATCTCCTGAGCTCGGAGACAATCGTCGGGTCAACATGCTCCAAGTTCTAATCAGGATGCTTCTCCGCCCGGTCAACGCCAGAACTACCCCTCTCCGGACCGCGTAAGCAGCCCTATTGGGACTGCTGCGATTAGCCCTGCGGGACAATTCTCGTCTGCTCCGACTCTAGAGTGAGCGTCAACACATCGCCCACAGCACATCAACCTCCAAACCAGCAAAATGCCTTCCAGCCCCACCAAGGACATCAGCAGGTATTGCCCCTCCCCCCTCCCCCCCCAGCAGTCGTGCAACCATTCACTCTAGAGGATCAAATGTTAGCTAATGACCCGAATCGTCAAGCGCCTCAAGGGCTTGACACTGATCCCCCTGCGCAAACTGCAACGCTAAAGAGCCCATCCGCTGGAGAGCCGAGGGTTGGCGGGATGATTGACAGAGGCGGGTTCCCTCCGTCAACTTCTGCTATTGGGCAGAAGATAATGACGCTGCCTCACACACGAGAGACTCCGGAGGCTCTATCGGGTGCGTCGAAGGACAATGCGAAGGAGATGAACTAATGGTGCGCCATCGTCACTTTCGTTTAGCCAACCATTCTTACTCGCCCTGGGTGATTTTTAAGGCCTTCCCATCCATAAAGTGAAGGGAGCACAGCCATTTCGCCTTCAACGCCTGCACCCCCATCAACCACTTTCTCGTATCCTTCTATCTCTCCCGTGGCGACAGGCACGTCAAATGCACCCGCTCCAACAATTAACACGACCATCGACACCAGCAGACCCGAGTGGTTCGACCAGAGAGTAATCACTTTACTCGAACCCAACCATCTGCTTATTGTTTGCGGATGACCTCTCGATCTCGCTTCGCTAATCGTACAGACCTTACCGATATTGGGTGAATACTTCGGTGTGGGGTTCTAGAGTTATCTGCATGATATGGGTACAGGGAATGGAGGTGACATGGATTATGTACCTGTCACATTCTAGTGATTAATCTGGACACTGGCACCCTCTGCCTGTGTCTCCGTACTATCCCGACGCCATCGCCTCCCCGCCGCCTTCAGGGAAGGAGGTTTGAAGAGGGGTGAGCATGTCAATGAGAACTTAAAACGACGCATCACCCTTCGGACGTTGTTCTGTGACGCGCTTCTCTCGAATGGAATATATATCGATATCTGATCGGTCTTCTTTGGTTCCTTGGATGATTTTCCATGAGATGACCGCGCTTCGATGTCTTGAGGGCCTGTACCTTGATCCTTCCGGGGTGGAACCTTGGGTATTGTTGGTTGAGCAGTTGCTGCTTTAGGCTCGGGGTCATCAATGACTGTACAGTAAACAAAAATATAAGAGTGGGAACGCGTCCAGATCCGAGAGACTAATTTTAATGATGCATGATCGGGGCGGCTGATGGACGTGTTCTTTATGTTCTTTATTGGCGTGGATTCTTCCACTTCAGCTGCGTCTCCGAACGAAAGCAGCTTTACGTTTCTATATTACAAGACACAATTGCAAGAATAATAATCAAATGAGCTCATTCGGAGTATAGCAACTTGCCTTGTTGCGCTCTTTCGCCTCGCAGCCTCCTCCCGCACTTTCGCGCCTCCTCTCTGGCCAGCTGGTGCGCTCGATTCTCCGCTGCCGCTGTGCGGGGTACAATGTCATCAAATCCGTATCTTGGGTGGGTACATTGGTCGCTCGTTTTTGTCAAACTCTTCGCTTGCCCAAACGCCGGGTTAGAAGGTAGTTGGATGTGAATACTCACCGCACTCCCCAATTTTGAGAACGTCTTTATGAGATAAATCTTCAATCAGCAGTGCTGCTTCGAAAGAAACGCCTTCCACCTACTGAAGACCGTGTTTCCGACAATTGTTCCGAATAATGTGTGTTTTCTCTGGAATTCATCCGCACGATCTAATAAGATAAATCGTAACCAAAGTCAGGATGTTAGCACGGTCTTCTTTGTCTTTCGACATCCTTACCTAAGGTGATGAAGAACTGGCTATCATTTGAATTATTCTGGCCATTGTTGGCAATACCAAGTATGGGCAAAGCGCGATCTCGAATGTATTTCGTCCTCGAACCAATTGCCATAGAATGATTCTCTTCCGCCTCTTGTCCCCGTTCTGTCTCCAGCCTTCCAGGGACTATTATGTGGAGATAATTCCATCGCAATAACCTTGAAGATGTAACGGGAGGCGACATGAGACACGAATGAACATCATGCACTGCAGGGAATCGTCATTCGTGCCTTCCGTAGCTAATGCTGTTTATGCATAACTTGTGATCGAATCTCAAATGTAACTGCACTCGTGGGTCAAGTTCGATCATAAACATGCGCATATGCAGCAATCTTCGTCAACATATATTGGCACAGTGCATACACAACTACCCAAAATGCGGGAGGAATGATGACCAAGATGGGGTTTGGTACAGATCAGGCGGAGGTGAACGCAAAGAACTGAAGGTGAGAGCAAGCAGGATAACCCGTGCAACGGAATAAACAACTGAAATGAGCAGTCCCGTATTGAAACCAAGATCGCCCTTAACACGTTTAGTTACCCATCCGGCCAACATTACAAAGGCAGGAGCCACTGTGATATATATTGCTGAAACCCGCCATAGAATCATCTCCGTGAGTGTCGGAAAGGGGAACGACCATGCAAGGCAATGGATTCCACCAAAGATGATCCCAGTGGCTATAAAGATGGATATGACTTCCATGGTCTCAGGCTCAGACACTTGCACGAGGGACATCGGATTTGCATCAGTCTCCATTTTAGGTGTTGGTTGATTGGCATTTGTCTCGGAAATCGGAGGGGACTGTTCCGTCACATGGATTGGGAGTCGAATGTTAACGGGTTTATGCCACCACAACACAATCACAAAGACACTTAATGCCGCATATGCGAGCGTCATTGTCTCGAGTTGCGATCTGTGCAAATGGCCCTTCCATCGTCCAACATATTGAGTGATAAACCATAGTAGTTGAAGCACAATGAAAAGGGGTCCCCTTTGCTTCTGTCAAGAATTTCTTTCTTTGTTATTGCGGCCCTTCTAGTATTTCCGGTCTTCTTAATTATGCCGGGGTATCGCTGCAAGTCATCTAGGCGCACTGCCCTTCCTTCTGATGGGTCGAAGAAACCATCCATAACGACAAAGTACGAATGCGTTGAGGTCCACCCTTGTGACAATTACAAGTCAGTGCCTCGTCCCTTCTCACTTGGATTTCCTCTCGAATTCAGGACATACCTTTCACCATCTTGCATTTTTTGGATATTCTCCAAGATAACAAGGATTGGTGCCACGCAAATGCCAGAATAGCCTCCGGTGAAACTAGCGAAACCATCATCAAGCCAACGCGCGATGTAATCGACCAGATACCGACATCGGGCTCTGGTAGATCTGGGTGCACTGCCGTCCAAATGCAAGCAGACACAGTAAGGAGACAGCTATAGACGATGCCCCACATCGTTCGGCAATTCCGGAGATCGTTGCAACCATCAGATACATTCTGCAGGAAACAAGTCGTATTGTGAGGGGGGATGGGCGCTGAATAAACATTGTGGGCAAGAAGGACGTTGATAAGAGCGGTTGCCATCGGATCCAGTCAAGTGCAGGTATGAGCACACCAAATACAGGATGAGTATAAACTTTATACTGCGGACTGGGGCACGTCCCTATGTTCAGCGCTTTAATTTACATATCAGCCATGCGACCAAGTTGATCGATGATTTCTAGGGGTTCCGAATCACATATCCGCAGATCTGAGGGAGATTCAGTGTGAGGGGCCTAGCCGATGAACGGACATTAGACTGAATCTTACATAACTTGGGTGTGAAACGCGCATGATCAGTGAAATACTAGCACTATGCCTGAAGACAAATGCAGGCTCGGGAAATGTCGGACTTTCATATATCTACATATATCAGGATAGATTGGTTCTTTAGCTCAGCCGGAATTGTCCCTGTTTACTTGGAACTCATGTGGCCGTGTGATGAATTGGCAATGGGGATATGAATGTGCTTACTTACATAAATAACACCGCCCCCCACCATTCAAAGCCTCAGGTACTAGAAATGGCTGCCAAGCACTACGGAATTCCTATTGAATATAACTCACCAAACTAGCGGAAGCGCCAAGAGAAGGCCTCGGAATAAATACATAAAGTGAAATGATAAATTGTTTACGGCATTTTGATATACATAATTGAATGCGTTCTTAAACACGTTTGTAACAATTTAACAAATACGTCATAAATGCATCGAAACCCGTCTGTGCTAACACATGGGCCGTTGGATGGTTGTATAACAAAAAAAACGCCATCCCGGGCGTTTATGCAAACATTATTCTGACATGACCTGACACCATTCACGTGATTGGCAGCGCCAAAAACCTGAATGTACCCCCTTCAAGGTAATTCAAGTCCGTTCCTGCCCAAGAACACGTTGTAGTACTTGGCACAAGCATCACTGCATTTTTTAGTGTCAATACTGATGTTCGCTCCGGATGCGTCTCAAGTGGTGGAAACCGTGCTTCTTGAACAACAAACCGCCGTAGATTCATGCAATCTTAAAAGGCCAATCTTAATCTTAACTGTAGGAGGGGTTGGAGGGGGGGAGCTTTGGTGATGTGTATTTGGGTGGATATCATGATTCCGTACGTTCGCTCTCTCGAAGAACGGTAGCATCCGCTGGCGTGATCCCTACTTTCGCCTTTGCCTTCAGAACGCCTGCTTAAAGAAAATCCCTGTCACCAGCACAGATTGGCTTGGGAAGTTTATTTGGGTTCATATCATTTCCCTCCCTCTCCTTTGCCTTGGTTACAACCTTTCCGCTTTCAGCGGCTCAGACGAGAAGTTAAGGTTTGGCATAAGGCAATGTTGTAGCATTTCTTAACTGGACACTACAGCGCGTTGTCAACGATAAATTACGTGTGGGCTTGATACCGGAGTGGGCTGAGGATGAAGGATTTTCTGCGCCGCAATCCACTGGGGGACTCGTCAGTTGGTGGCGAATTCTTCAACTCCAAACTCCATCGTTAATTACTTCATCAGGATCCGAGGAGCATGTCAAGGATTGGCTTATCTACATTCATGCGGTATAATCCATGGAGCCATCAAACCAGTACGTTCAACAATAATTTCGTCCTGCTTTATTCTACCGATGGTCGCAATAGGAGAGCATTCTTGTCTGGGAGTGGGTTGTAATGCGCAATCATGCGATTTCCGGCCCCCCTCCATGCTCGACGGTTTTACAACGCATGCTGAATCACCGAGCGTGATGAACACCCCTAGGTACGCTTCCCCAGGACTGGTGGAGGCCATCATCACCGGGCGAAATGATAGCGACGTTTAGGCTTTTGGGTGTCGGACCCGTTCCAGCTTTCTTCGGTCATCTCCAAGGGCCCGGCAATGTCGGTTCCCTTGAGAGGCGCATTTCGGCGTATTTCGAACCTTTCCCTGAGCTACGACCCAGCGCTGCTAAGCTCAGTCACTTGATGCATTTATTCAGGGCCAGAACCCAGCGTGATAACTCCAAAAAAGACTTGTATCAAACGCTTCGGCTTCGCAACCATCTAAGGAAGGTAGTTTCTTTTTACTGTATGTGGACCCTTATTCAAGCCGTTGGCTACTCGATATGAGCGTCCTGGCACAAGGGGAAACAGTGACCAACCTACCGGTTGAGGAGCGGAGGATTGGTGGGTCGACGAGTACATGAGGCGGAAGGGTAGCGTTCCATTCCCTGTTCGTTTCTGATCAGAACATAGCGGCACGACCTCGTCCGACTCCAGAAACTTTGGAATCCTCACTATCAGGTGCTTCCAAGGAGAGAGAACAGAAGGAAAAGCCAATGGTATGGTCACCACTTATCAACTTATGGTTCCTAGGCGTCGTACCCGCTGGGGTGCCCAGGGTGGCAGAAATGTGGGTATTGCGCCTTTCCCGATGATTCAGATCATGGATAGCACACAGCGACCCGCATCACCCACCCAATCGTCGATCACACCCTCGCATACATCCGTGTTTCCCGCGCCAGGCACGCCAGACTCATCCTACTGCCAATGCAACATCGACACCTGCTTCTCTCCGGGCAACTCTTATACGTCAACCCGGCCAGCCATATGGAGCGACTTAAGCGCAAGCACCAACGCCTCAACCACTTCAGCGGCCCAGATGGTCCCGGCTCATTCTCATTCCGCATCAATCACGCCCGCACCTGATCAACCAGACGTCGCTATGGCGCAGGGCCAACCCAGTCCGAGCCGCGATGCTATCTCGTCACGTCCTCACTCACAGCCGCAAAGCGCAGCTGTCAAGAGGGGTCCAGTGGGGGTGGTCCGAGATCGTAAGTGGATTGTAAATTGTCCTAACAATAGCATTGACTTATCTCGCCGGTTTTCAACTGATAGGATGTTCAAAGCCAGCCTGAGACGCAGAAGGCCACACCTCCCACTCGCCCTTTGGGGCGACCGGGGACATTTTCCCCTTCTTCGTTTGTGGCTCCGACCACTGGAGGTCCAACGACTTCCTCGGGACCCCGTCCGCCTCAGCCTTCCGCTGCTATTACTCTGCCCGGACATGTGCATGCGGGTGTGAAAAGACCCGGGTCTCCGTCAGGTCAATATGATCCAGATAGTAAACAGGACCCTCCTATACCTGACCTGAAACGTTGACGAAACTCCTCTTCGGATCGCGTAGGCAACTCCACTGGAACCGCCCAAGGTCAGTATTCTACTTTCACTGGAGCCTACGGCACCCAACCTCGGGCCCCCATTGCATACATTCAACCTCGACCTAACATGCCGATGAACACTGGAGGAACCGGGTCAAGGCCAATTCCTCCAACATCCGATGGGTTCTGTGCAACGAATCCCGTCCGCTCCGACTCCAGGGGTGGGCTCTTTCATGAGATCCACGCGACCCTCACAGGGCCAATCTCCGAATCCACTAAATCCCACCGACAAGGACCGCTGCAAGCCCCCCCAGCAACATCTATTATACATCAATTTTTTGCATGCTTGAGGAGAGGAGTAGCTGTTCGTGTGGCTTTTTGTGTTTTTTAAACTCCAATCCGTTCTCGTATCTTTATCACCCCTACACACATTGTGAATTTCTTGCATTTTTCCTTCTTCCCTCTATTCTCACCTTATTATCATACTTTATTTGTTGATTTGCCGAATTTTCTTGGTTGCATCGTACCGCGCGTGATTTGGCTCGGTACACTAGAGTCATGTTCGATTGTGAACATGGGCTGTCCTGTAGTAAAACACAATTTTAACCAGAAGCGCGGTACATACACAGCTATCCAAAGTGTGGGAGGAATGATGACCAAGACGGGGTCTGGTATAGGTCAGGCGGAGGTGAACGCAAAGAACTGAAGGTGAGAACAAGGAGGATGACCCGCGTAGCAGCGTAAACAAGTCCAGTAAGTAGTATCATAACCCCACCAATAGCCGGAATATAACCCCCAATCAATTCGCCCAACATTAGAAAAACAGGAGCCACTGTAATACATATTGCTGAAACCCACCATAGAATCATCTCCGCGCGTGTCGGAAAGGGGAACGACCATGCAAGGCAATGGATTCCCCCAAAGATTATCCCAGTGGCTATAAATATGGACATCGCTTCCGACCCCTTGGGCTTACACACCGGCATGAGGAACATCAAATCTGCATCAGCCCCCCTTTTAGGTGTTGGTTGATCGACATTTGTCTCGGGAGTCGGAGGAACGGAAGGGGACTCTCGCGTCACATGGATTGGGAATTGAATGTTAACGGGTTTATGCCACCACAACACGTAAACAAAGACGCATAATGCCGCATACGCCAGCGTCATTGTCTCGAGTTGTGATCTGCGCAAATGGCCTGCCCATCGTCCGACATATTGAGTGATAAACCATAGTAGTTGAAGGACACTGATAAATTTCGAAACCGCATCGCTTTTGCTTCTGTCAAGAATTTCTTTCTTTGTTATTGCGGCCTTTCTAGTATTCCCGGTCTTCTCGATTATGCCGGGGTATCGCTGCAGGTCGTTCAGGTCCACCACTTTTCCTGTTGACGAGTCGAGGAAACCATCCATGACGACAAAGTATGAATGCGTCAAGGTCCACCCTTGCGACAAGTACAAGTCAGTGCCCCGTCCGCTCCTAACTTGTGCATTTCCTCTCAAATTCAGGACACACCTTCAACTATCTTGTATTTTTTTGACATTCTCCGAGACAACAAGAATTGGTGCCATGCAAACGCCAGAATGATCTCCGGTGAAACCAGTGAAACTATCATCAAGGTAATGCGTGATTTGGGCATCCCGGTATTGATATGATCAAAATGCTTTGGTAGATCTGGGTGTACCGCCGTCCAAATGCAAGCAAACACGGTTAGGAGACAGCCATAGACGATGCCCCACATCGTTCGGCAATTCCGGCAACCATCAGATACATTTTGCACGAAACAAGTCGTATTGTGGGGGGAGATGGGCGCTGAATAAACATTGTGAGCAAGAAGGACGTTGATAAGAGCAGTCGCCATCAGATCGAGTGTGGGTACAGGTATGAGCAACTATGCGACTTCCTGGTTCCAAATTACATTTGGCCTGGCGAAGCTACGAAAACAATGCTGCTTCTCAGAAATTAAGCAGCACGCGTCATTCACTTCGACTTTGGATTCAGTTTGGTGGAAATTTACAGCAATATATCGGAAGCATCTCAGCAGGCTGATGATTTTAACAAGTAGTACTGTGCTTGATCATTACCATAGTATAAAGTCAAAGTCGCTAAAATCAACAACGGTGATTTGCCTCCAATTTGCTACCATTTGGGATTATCAAACGCCTGGTTTGGACGCGAAGGGCTTAGCCCTCCTGCCCCATTGAATCGTATTGCTGATCTATCACTAGCTTCTACCAGTCCCACAACTACAAATACTGGGATGTATGATAATATACCAGTGTGCCTTTCAATGGCACACGATCATGAAAACGGGCACCGGTTTGGGCACTAGAAAGTAGCGCAGCGACGGCCTCGACAACGCCGAAGCCTCTTATATTGAGAGTGACGTGGTAAAAGCACATTGAAAAGACTGAGGGGGAGTTTGGGGGATGGCGGTGGGTGACTCTAAAATGACAGGCAGTAGCATCACGCAAGCAGAGTACGAAGTGAGGTTATGAAAAAAAAAAAAGGAAAGAGTCGAAGAACCAACAAACAGGTTTCATAAGGGAAAAAAAAAAACGAAAACCTAGCGCCACCCGCCAAAGGCAATTGAAGGCATCAAAACCAGCGAACGACATTGAGCGAGCCGAGGCGTGCGGTGGACGCCAGGCAATATTGACAGAGTAGGCACAGGCACAGAGGCCGATGCATACGGCGGACGCGAAGAAGGTGCGGAAGGACCCGAAGGCCAGAAGCCGACGCGTGGAGCGGACGTGAGGGGGGGAAATGGTAACTTAACCCAAGAACAGTGAAGAGAGACTAGCCTAGAAGACTGCCAGACCTGCGAACTGAGCATACGCAGATGATCAGTATGCGAAGAGCCGTAGGCGGGTATGGCAACAACTAGATATCCTGAGGCATGCTGCGGATGTGAGCACCAGGATCCGGGGGCACACAAGTCTCATTTAGATCCCAGTAGTTATATAGCGCCACGAGAAGTGTTAGCTTAGTCACCGCCAAGAAAAGGTGGTTGAGTATGTGAGACCGAGGCTGAAGAAACGTCCTGGTTGTTATGATAAGCCCCATGCGGAAGTATCGCCGAGCGGCTACGCTCAAGTGTTAAGGAGAGTGAGCCAAAACTTTCATCAAAGCTATGCTACAGTTGGGGAAACGCACGGACGGGTCAGGGAAGCAGTGTTAGGAAGTGGGATGTTGCGCGTTAGCATGGCGCACGAGTGCATGCTGCACCATGAACTCTTTCGTCACATGGATTGGGAATTGAATGTTAACGGGTTTATGCCATAAACAAAGAGACATATGCAAGCGTCATTGTCTCGAGTTGCGATCTGCGCAAATGGCCCGCCCATTGTCCGACATATTGAGTGATAAACCACAATAGTTGGAGGACAGTGAGAAATTTAGAAAACGCGTCACCTTTGCTTTTGCCAAGAATTTCCTTCTTCGTTATTGCGGCCCTTCTAGTATTTCTGGTCTTCTTAATTATGCCGGGGTATCGCTGCAAGTCGTTCGGGTCCTTCTGACGGGTCAAAGAAACCATCCCTGACGACAAAGTATGAATGCGTCTGACTTTCGAACCATCGAGACCAGAGAATCCTGGCTTAGTCCTAGAACTCGTACATATTTGTCTTTGCGAACAAAGTAATCCAGAGTTGCGGGCAAGTTGCGGGAGTACAGTACGTGACCAGCCGCTCTTAGGGGAGTACTACGCACAAGCTGGAAAGCATACACAAGTCGAGCCTTCCCCCCTTTGCTTTTCTAATCAGTACGATCTTTTTTGGTTTTTTGATTAGGTTGTGTGTTCATCACGACACTCACACAGTCACCCTCGCTTTTCTGAACAGCGGCTGGGTGGAACGAAATGAAAGTCGGGCAGCGAGTAGCCATCATGCTTATCTCAGACCCCCCCCCCCCTTTTTTTTTTCCAGTCGATAGGATTTTTTTGCTTTTGAATTTGGCTGTGTGTTCATCATGGTCCTCGGTGTAGGTTTGACACCATCGCCCGACCTTTCTCAACAACGGGTGGGTGGAGCTGGATGAAGCTTAGATGGCAGTCGTATCCATTTTTTCCCCTAATCAATAGGATTTTTTTTGCTTTTAAATTAGCTTGTGCGTTCATTGCGGTGCTTAATGTAAGATCCCCCGACTTTTCTCAACAATGGCTGGGTGGAACAGGATGAAACTCGGGTGGTGAGTAGTTATCATATTTATCTCGGACCCATTTTCTCTTTATATTAATCGATAAGATTCTTTAATTTAGGCTGCACATTCATCACGGTGCTCAATCGGCAGGAGCAAACATAGCAGGGAAAAAGAGGCAAAATTAGGTTGTCCTGTAATTAAACACAATTTTAACTAGAAGCGTGGCACATACACGGCTATCCAAAATGCGGGAGGAATGATGACCAAGATGGGGTCTGGTATAGACTAGGCGGAGGTGAACGCAGAGAACTGAGGGTGAGAACAACCAAGATGACCCGCGCAGCAGCGTAAACAAGTGGAGGAAGTACTAATATAAGTACTACTATAAGTAATTCTATACCCTGAAGAATAACACGATCCCCAACCCGTGCAGAAAGAAGTGCAAAAAAGATCCTAATCCGTGCGACAAGATCAACCCCTACAATCAAAAATAGAAAGGTAGGAGCCACTGTGATATATATCGCTGAAACCCGCCATAGAATCATCTCCCTGCGTGTCGGAAAGGGAAATGACCATGCAAGGCAATGAATTCCCCCAAAGATCATCCCAGTGGCTGTCAATATGAACAATAATTCCAACACCTCGGGCTCGGACACCTGCACAAGGGACATCGGATCTGCATCTGTCTCCATTTCAGCTGTTGGTTGATCGACATTTGTCTCGGAAGTCGGAGGAACGGAAGGGGACTCTTCCGTCACATGGATTGGGAATTGAATGTTAACGGGTTTATGCCACCAAAACACGTAAACAAAGAGACTTAATGCCGCATACGCCAGTGTCATTGTCTCGAGTTGTGATCTGTGCAAATGGCTTGCCCATCGTCCGACATACTGAGTGATAAACCATAGTAGTTGAAGGACAATGAGAAATTTGGAAAACGCATCGCCTTTGCTTCTGTCAAGAATTTGCTTTTTCGTTATTGCGGCCTTCCTAGTATTCCCCGTCTTCTCAATTATGCCAGGGTATCGCTGCAAGTCATTCGGGTCCACCGCACTTCCTTCTCCTTTTGATGGGTCGAAGAAACCACCCATGGCAACAAAGTATGAATGCACCAAGGTCCACCCTTGTGACACGTACAAGTCAGTGCCTTGTCCCTTCCTAACTTATTCCTCTCAAATTCAGGACACACCTTCGACCACCTTGCATTTCTTGGATATTCTCCAAGACAACAAGGATTGGCGCCATGCAAACGCCAGAATGATCTCCGGTGAAACCAGTGAAATCGACATCAAGCCAGTGCGTGATTCAAGCCACAACCCGAGCCAGGTACTACGATCATATAAAAAGGCCCTAACTTCATCACGAAAGTTTTGAACTGAATTAAAAATGGTCAGGGTTAGCAGGATCCCGAAAGAATTCATGGTCACTGTAGAACTGCGGCAGATTTGGGTGCACTGCTGTCCAAATGCAAGCAAACACGGTAAGGAGACAGCTATACATGATACCCCACATCGTTCGGCAATTCCGGAGATCGTTGCAACCATCAGATACATTTTGCAGGAAACTAGTCGTATTGTGAGGGGAGATAGGCGCTGAACCAGCACTGTGGGCAAGAAGAAGAAGGGTGATAGGAGCAGTTGCCATCAGATCGAGTGCGGGTACAGGTACAAGCACACCAAATACCGGTTGGGTATAAGCTTTATACTGTGCGTCACGAAAACCGGTATGGCTCTAGAGCACTCAGGAGTGCTCTGGAGATTGGTTGCATACTCCCAAGCTCTCAAAAGCTCCCACAGCTCCTGAGTGATCCCAAGTAATTCCGGACGCGATTTTTCACATCATGTGACATCCAACCTCACCTATCTCATCTTTGACTGCTAATGTCCAGAGGCATTAAGTGCGTCGCTGGTGTATTGTGGTCTTCAAACACTTTGAGACTTGGCTGTCAATCACTAGAGGCATTTGTAGTGTTTAATGCTAGTTCTTCACCTCATTTTTGACTGCTGGTGTCTGGGGGCGTTAATTTCGCCACTGGTGTATCATTGAAGACTTTCATGGCTCCCTTTCCCAAGTTGAAAGTCGGCTGTCAAGCACCAGCCAAGAGGCATTTGGAACATCGCTAGTTCTTACAATGTGGACTGCAAACCCACTGTCGGCTACAATGGACAAATAGACAAATAGATTCGGCCAACTCCGCTACAATGGGCTCGGATACAAAAGTATAATCACGTGTCAGGAAAATTTTCAGTTGGGCCACAGCACTTCACCCCATCCTGCCGTTCCCAACCTCAAATCATCAGCAAAAGTCTGTTATGCTCCGGAGCATCAAGAGTGGCTGGAGCATGTGGGAGACAAAACAGCAGATTGGGCACTCCTGGAGCCAATAGTGTTCTCCTGGGAGGGGGTTCAGGAGCAGCTGGGAGTGGTGAGGAGTATGTAATGTGCCAGGAGCAGTGGGAGGAAAATTTTGGTCTCTAAAAAGTTGAAAAAAAAAAATTTAGGGAAAAATCAAAAAAAATTCAGGAACTATAGTGCCTTTAAAGTGCTTTCAGGACATATAATTATTTGCAAAATTGAGGAAGAAATGATGGAGAAAACTGGAAAATACTTTCGGAGACCTGAGAAATAATGAGAACTGAATTGATGGGAAAGTCTGAAAATTGAATAGGAAAGTGAGGGGAAGCCTTGTAAGCATTGTTATTTTCTGCTGTTCTGATTTTTCCTGATTGTTCTTGGTCTCACTCCCAGCTGCTCCTGGACCCTCCCAGGAGCTTTCAGGAGCTTCCTGGAGTATTGAGGAGCAGCTGGGAATGAGACCAAGAAGAATCGGGAAAAATCAGAACAGCAGAAAATAACAATGCTACAAGGCTTCCCCTCACTTTCCTATTCAATTTTCAGACTTTCCCATCAATTCAGTTCTTGGGTCTCCAAAAGTATTTTCCATTAGCTGCTCCTGGACCCTCCCAGGAGCTTCCAGGAGTATCCAGGAGTATCCAGTAGCAGCTGGGAGTGAGACCAAGAAGAATCAGGAAAAATTAGAACAGCAGAAAATAATAATGCTACAAGGCTTCCCCTCACTTCCCTATTCAATTTTCAGACTTTCCCATCAATTCAGTTCTCATTATTTCTCGGGTCTCCAAAAGTATTTTCCATTTTTCTCCATCATTTCTTCCTCGATTTTGCAAATAATTATATATCCTGAAAGCACTTCAAAGGCACTACAGTTCCTGATTTTTTTTTAAATTTTTTCCCTAATTATTTTTTTCAACTTTTTAGAAGTCCCTATTTTCAAATTTTCCTCATTTCCCTCTATATCCCCCCCTCATTCTCCCCCTCATTTCCCCCTCATTTCCCCCTCATTTCCCCCTCATTCTCCCCCCCTCATTCTCCCCCATATTCTGCCAGCCCGAAAGTGATTAAGTTGCCAGATTAATCATATATCGGGCCATAAATTTTGATTGTGTATTGGTGAGTCTCAGTGTCCTTGATATATAGTATAGTGTTTGATCTAAATGTTAAGCAGTGTCTTGTTGTGTTAGTCTTGTGGTAGGAGGTATTCATGGGGGATCTTCCCTCTTTTTTTCCTTTTCATTTTCAAATGCTCCAGGAGCTCCCAGAAGCTTCTCACCCCTATACACTTTGAAGCATTTAAATTGTATTTACTGGATATGTTTGTGCACAAAGCAATGCTCCAGGTCCTCCTGGGAGTGCCCTGGAGTACCTAGCCAACTCCGGAGGAAATGGGCTGTTCCTGGACCGGCCAATCTCCTCCTGATTCTCCCAGTGCTCTCGATACTCCGGAGCACTCAGGAGCATAACAATTTTTTGCTGATGATGTTCCCATAACACCACCACCATTAGTCTCTATGCCACATGGCTGCGTCTGGGAAAACTATAGCACACTTGGTGCACTGCACTTCCTCTGCCATGGCTGGCTTTTGCAACCACATCATCACTCTGCACACAGGCGTTGTCTCTTGAACATAGAACTCAAAACTCGGATTTCACAGCAGGGATAGATCCCTCCACCTCTATTGAGCTCACCTTATGTGTTGACTGGATCTCATAGCCATGTTTGTACATGGCAGTGCGGCTTTCCCGTGTGTTCCATCTGAGTGGACGATTCATCAATACAGGGTAAAATTGACCCGATGACACTCCATGCTGTGAAAGTCCCCTCATGTACTGTTGTAATGTAGTGGGATATGCTGCTCTGTCATGTCGCGACCGCGGGGTAACAAATTTGATATCAACAACAACAGGGTAAGATTGTCTAGTTGGTATGGTTGGGGTGACAGTGTCCTCTGGGTTGTGGCGTCAGATTTTAGTCATGTCTGGGTTGTATGTGAAAGCCTGGCACTTGAGTTACTCTGTGCTCTCCACATTGTTCTCCTGGTCTGTTTGTCACGTTGGCTCCTTGAATCATCAAGTGCTCAAATTCTAGATCCCAGTCTCATGGGTTGTGCTTAGCTATAACTCAGTACTGTTACCATTCTGCAAGGAGTGGTCCAATGTCTCATTGCTCGGCCTTGTGAGTTTTTCCAGTAATTCAATATTTATCATCTGACAGGAAGTTCATTGTAGGTACCAACGCGGAGCTGCCAGAAGTGTGTGAGGTGGAGGAAGGTGGTTCATTGGATACTTAGATATGACAATTAGTTACATTTCCTGTATGTAGTTAAAGAATTTACAATTTCTTCTTTCTGCAACGTGAATGTTTAATGCATAAACTGAGTGGGTGAGATCCAGTATAATATGTACTCCAGAGCACTCCAGAGCACTCCGGAGCACTCCAGAGCACTTCAGGAGCAAACCAATGCTCGGGAGCACTCCAGAGGGGGGTACCTTTCTCCCGGGCTCTAATAGCTCTAATCGCTCAGGAGCACTCAAGAGCTGATAGGAGCGTCTGCCGGTTTTCGTGACGTGGACTCATCCCGTTCAGCACTTTATCAGACATGCGACTTCCTCAAGGCAAGCAGGAATAGATGATTCTAGGGGTTCCGAATTACATATCCGATGACTGGTGGTGAAGCGAGCTGCCAAATTCAATGTGAGGGACTGACTGGCCGATGGACGATCGGACGCCGCAGTGAATTCAATGGGCTAATACTATCTCTAACCATTCCGGACTTTCATATATCAAGATATGATAGGTCCCTATGCAGTTATCGAGCAGGTAAACACGCAAGTGAAGGCATCGTTTTGTAATCTTGAAGTTTTTTTGAAGTCAAGTCTAAGAAGCAGTGCATGAAAATCATAACCGCGCGGCGCGTAGCCTCATTCAAATTCAAACAAATGTCACTTTTGTCTAATTTGTTGCCATTTCGAGTTATCACCAGCCCCATTCGTCCATATCGCCGCGCGTGCGCCGGCTTGTTTTGGATGCCACTGTAATCAACTTTTGAACCCGCCGCTGCTCGAGTTTCTCTCTGGCAGAATGGTTTCTGCTCTATGGCGCGGAACTTACTTACGAATCCCCATCGGGCACTGGAAAGGCACTGTACCGAAACCAGGAAGTATGAGAAGCTAGCGCATCATGCAGGTCGGAACCCCTGGGTCGCAGGAGTGAAGCCACAAGTTGGCCAGGGTACAATATTGCAAGGTGGCGTTATAATTATTAGTTGAGTCCATCCATACAATGACGTTAACACTTTCGTGGAAGGACGACATGTTTGCAGAGCAAGTCGACATTAAATCCAATAGCCCGGGTGTAGCGATTGGGCCATATCCGATGATTCAGGTCATAGCGACCCATGTCGCCTATCCAATTGTCGACGGATACATCTGTGTCTCCCGCGGCAGGCACGTAAAACGAGAGACTCATCCACTGCCACCAGCGCCACTACCGGCATCGTCAGGCCCAGCGGTTCAGCACCCTACTTGAACATGCAACAATCTGGGCTTTGCTGGTGTTGCAGGCGAAATGTTCGTTGCTGGTCAGCTAAGCAACTTTGTGGATTACCTAGCTGGAATTAACGGACGCGAGTTGTAACCTACATGATCAAGCGGTTCTTGGTCCTCGAACCTTGGCGAGAAAAATATGTGCAGGGTCGGAAACGGAAACCGTCACCTTCATTGGACGCCAGGGGAATTATTGCGGAAACGAAGACAACCATTACTGTGCTTTTGTACCCGCTGTCGCGATTGCCCTCTCCCTGACTGTCAATCTGCGCTTCTGCCCTTCCAGTCTAGAGTTATTGCTCCTACGTGTTCTGGACTGCCTGCCTTCAACCGCTACCTGTGTCTGCTGCTAGCATCTGCTGGTTCCCTACATCCCCCGCCCGCATCTTCGAGCCCTGTACTTGTGTTTTTGCCCGCCGCATATCTTCGTCCGCAGATTCTTTATTTCTTTGGGTCAGCTCTTTCGGGTATCTTCTGTCGTCACTTTACTTGCCCTCCTTTCATTCTGTGTCATCCTTTGTGAGTTTCTTTCGGTCATTTTTCAAAATTTTAACGCCAAAATCCACTTGGTTCCAGTCTTGCTGTGTGGGTCTACCCTCATGCTAAATACTCAAGCGGCCCTCTGACTGAATCACCGTTCGCAGCCGCCTTCTTCACTGCGAATTCCCACCTCTCTAAACAGCATGGTCCCTCTGCAGCAACGACTACGAACTACAATTAGTAAATTGCCGTTGTGCAGTCCTGCCGGCATCCCTCGTATCATCTTTGTATCCACCGACTTACAGAGGGGCGGCTACTCTAGGCCATACTAGGAATTCCACACCGTTCTAATGATCATCTCCCAGTTGTTCTAATAGCTTCGTATATTATCGCCTTGACCGTACTTCTAGCTATCTTTTACATCAACAACGCCATCGAAAACCTTCCCTTCGACTCTGACCATCTATCCCTTTTCATACCCCAGGGCTCAGCTTCAATCCTTGCTGTCTACCTCTGCCACCACACCGACTATCGGGTCGAGCTCGCGGACTGCCGTGTCTGGGACGCCCTCATTGGAGTCACCACAGTTCCGTCCCACTCATCTCAACTAGGGCGGTGACAGAGAGGGTGACAGAGAGTACGTTCCCGTGCCCATACCAGTTTCGGCTCATCAGGAACGCAATTGTCTCTTTTCGGTTCACGACAAATGGGTGCAAGCATTGTACAACGACACGAGGGATCGAGGAAGCTATTAATCCACCTCAAGGATTATTGTTCGAGCCAGTCCAAGATGTGCGCATTCGCTTAATCCCAGCCAGTATGTGCTTTTTGCAGATGGTTCTGGAACATCTCCCAAGCTCGGAGACAATCGTCGGGTCAACATGTTCTACGGTGCTCTACTTCCACTGCACCCTACAGTATGGCACCCATCACACACATTCGGCGTCGACCCAACATGTCGATGAGTACGGGAAGATCGGGTCGGGGCCAATTCTTCCCTCTCCCGACGAATCCTGCAGAACAAATCTCATCTGCTCCGACTCCAGGAGTGAACGCCAACGCATCGCCCACACAAAATCCCTTCCCAGCCCAACAAGGCCAACCATCGCTACTGCCCCAACCTCCCCAGCGGCAACAATCAATCGTACAACCATCCACTCTAGAGGACCGAATGCTAGCTAATGGCCCGAACCGTCAAGCGCTTCAAGGGATTTACACTGATCCCCTGCGTAAGCTGCGACGTTGGGGTGCCCGTCGACTGGGGAGCCGAGGGTTGGCGAGACGATTGGCAGAAGTCAACTCTTGGTATTGGGCAGAGGATAATGATGCTGTCTCCTCACACACGAGGGACTTCGGAAGCTTCATCGGGTGCGTCATCGTCGCTTTCGTTTAGCCAACCGTTCTTACTCACCCTGGGTGATTTTTAAGCCTTCAATGTTGGCACCCCCGTTGAACTCTTTCTCGCATCCTTCCATCTCTTGATCTCGCCTCGCTGATTATACGGACCTTGCCGGTATTGGGTGAATACTTCGGTGCGGCTTGCTTGTGGGATGGATTGAATGAGATGATGAATGTTACAGGCGCCGTAAAACCTGAGACGATGAGTTATCTCCCTTTCCGAACTGCTCGCCCAATTTCGGACCGTCGTGACCTCTTTCGTTCCTGTTCCCCCCTCGCGTATTCCTCGCGCCTTGGCTCGAGGATCGAGGACCTCGTAATCATGTTCAGCACGATGCATCTCGTCATTCCTAGGTAGTCGATGGCTCATCCAACCAGTGTCATTATCAACCTCAAGTGCAGCCTCCTCACCATCCTCACCCGTTTCTTCGGGCTTTGTATCATCTTCACTCATGCGATTGCTTGAAGGTCCCTCGACACGCGCATCCTTCAGCCTGGCTTTGAACCGGTCAAGAGCGGCAAGGAGGGCGCTTTCATCCTTTGCTTTCCTTTTCCTCCCGCAGGCAGCCCGTTTTCCCTTTGAGTGTTTTCCAGTTCTTGTTGAAGAAGAGAAGGCCCTGATTTAGTCCTTTTCGATTTGGGTTCATCCTTGGAGTCACGACTCACTCGGCTGTTGCGCACAGGACATTGCTCTTACTGCCTCATCATGGGGAGCTTACCCAGGCTGGCCCGGTGATGCTAATATGATCAGTCATTCGATTGGGCAACTTTTTTGGGGAACTGGAGACCGTGCGGATCATGCAGAGTGACCAGTACATTTGGCCAAGGTGACCGCGAAAGCCGGAGTTGGCAAAGAACCGCCCATGAAGCAGAGCGAAGGGCTCAAGAAGTTCCTTCATTCATTCACTGGACGCCGGTGAGAACTTGAGGGATCAGCCGCGGATGGCGCATCCTTTGAGCAGGCGAGGGGTGAAGCTTTGACAGCACCGGGGTGCCAGGTACGATGTCATTCAAGTCCCCACCCTATGGCCCTGCCAGTCGCGCCAACCGTGGCGAGTTTCAGGCACGAAAAGGGGAAGAATGGTGTGGGGAAAGACACGGTGGTTATTATATTGATGATGCTGGGAGAGGTGAAAATTGAACGGATTGCGAGAGTCTTTCTAGTGGTCTGATGGATTTTAATCTCAATTGTAATGGCGCATCTGGGTCGTATTCGAATGCAAGTAACATGCAAATTGAAACAAGAAGCATGGTACATACATCTATCCAAGATGTGGGAGAAATGAGGTCCAAGATGGGGACCGGTAAAGATCAGGGGGAGGCGAACGCAGAGAGGTGATGGTAAGAACAAACAAAACAATCCGGGCAATGATGTAAGAGGCCTCCATGAGAAATCCACATATATTAAGTACGGAAGAGCTAAAATTAGCAGCCTCGCGATGAGCTATACCAAAGACAAAACCCCTAAGAGTAGAACGATAAATATCGTCTGCGGGGAGGAGAGTGATCCGTCGTGTCGACATGTACAAGGCGTAAGGAACAGGGCACGCCATAATAATTATCGCTGAAATCCGCCACAGAATGGTCTCCTTGAGTGTTGGAAAGGGAAATGACCATGCCAAGCAATGAATCCCCCCGAAGATGATGCCCGCGGCTAAACTAGCCCAAACAGGGCCATATCCAACGATCTCCGCTAGAGTGGGATTCAGAACTGCCCCATTCTCCAGACTAGGTGCTGGCTGATCGGCATCGACGTCCGGAGGATTGGGACGGCTGGAATTTTTCGTCACACGGATCGGGAGTTGGATGAGAGTAGGTTTATGCCACCACAACACGTAATCGATGACACTTAGTGTCGCATACGCCAACGTCATTGTCTCGAGTTGCGATCTATGCAAACCGCCCGCCCATCGTCCGATGTAATGAACGATAAACCACAGTAGTTGAAGGATAACGATGAATTTCGTAAACCAGTCCCCTTTGCTTCTGTCAAGAATTTCGCTTTTTGTTACTGCGGCCTTCCTAGCATTCCCGGACTTCACAATTATGCCAGGGTATTGCTCGAGAACGTCCAAGGGATCTTCGTTCCTTTTGGGAATCACTGCTCCTTCGGATGGGTCGAAGAAGCCACGCATGATGACAAAGAATGAATGCGTATCCGTCCATCCTTGTGAGGGGTAAAGTCAGATTCTTGTCTTGTGTATTTCTCCTCAAATTCAGGGCACACCTTCGATCATCCTGCATCCTTTTGACACTCTCCGAGCGTCCAGGAGATCTCCCAACGCTCCCCCCAGAAGCACCTCCGGTGCAACCAGTGAAAGTACCATCAAGGGGCCACGGGTCACTCCAGGCAACAGTGAATGGCCAGGCTTTGGTATGTTTGGGTGTACAGCCGTCCAAATGCACGCAATAATCGTGAGCAGACAGGTATAGATGATACTCCACATAGTTTGACAGGTGCGTAGGTCATTGCAAGCATTAGATATATTTGGCGAGAGACTCGTGGCATTATGAGGGAGGATAGGCATTGCATAAACACCATAGGCAAGAACGACGGGTAGAGGTACAACCACACCAATTAATACAGGTTGAGTATAAGCTTTATACTGTGGACTGGGCATGTCCCTATGTTCAGCGCTATGTCAGCCATGCGACTTCCTCAAGGCAAGCTGGTAGATGATCCTAGGGGTTCCGAATTACATATCCACAGATCTTCGATGACAGCTGGGAAGCTGCCAAGTTCAATGTGAGGTGCCTAGCTGATGATCAAACGGACATCGGACTTGATCGTAACTGCCGTGACAGGACGCTCGGTGGATTCAATGGGCTAATACTATGGCCGGGGACAAATGCGGTTCCGGAAATGTCTAACTATTTCCGGACTTTCACACGTCGGCATGTGATGGTTCCTATGCAGTCGTCGAGTAGGTTAAGCACGCAAGTGAAGGCATCGATCGGCAGCTTTTCTGAAATCAAGAAGCAGGGAAAATCATACCGCGCGGCCGCGCGTATCCTCATTCAAATTTCACTTTACATAGGCTCAGTTTGGTCTGATTTGCTACCATTTTGAGTTATCACCAGCCCCATTCGTCCAAATCGCCACGCGCGCCGGCTTTTTTTTGCATTCAACTTGGATATTACAGCAAACAATTGATTCCGCTTTTGGTTAATTTCCCAGGAGAAACATTCCAGCAGCGGGGGAACCTTGGTTGGAATCCCCGTGGGGCACTGGAAAGGCAAACTGCAACGAGGAAGTGTGAGAAGCGCATCATGCAATTCGGAAATTAAACACCACAGACGCGCGTGTTGAACACGCACCAGCGTAGAAGCCAAGTTAATGAATTCACTCCGTATCAGTCTCCTGAACTATTCGAGAGAGCTGATCAGCTAGTACTACTAGGGAATCCCTGTCAGGGGATGTCGCCTCATAGCTTTCAAATCACCAAGGCCAGCGGATCCCTGCGCAGTCCCGGAGCTTGCACAAGCACATTTTGTTTTCGAATCCTAGCCATGGGATAACCCCTGCATGCCTTAAGCAACTGAGGACTGCCAGATCCCACAGCCTCTCACTGCCCCCTGCTGCGCATGTCGCATGTAGCAGGCATCAACGGTCGAATTGCAACGACACGTTTGCAGAGCGCAAGTCATGTCGACCTCAAATTCAACAGCCCAAATGTAGCTATTGCGCCATATCCGATAGTTCAGACTATAGCGACCCATGTTACCCATCCGATTGTCGACCGGCATCAACTCGCATACATTTGTGTCTCCCGCGGCAGGCACGTCAAACGAGAGACTTATCAGGCCCAGCGGTTCAGCCCCAAGTTCACTGTTTGGGGAGACCACCTTACTTTGACATTTAACGAACCGGACTTTGGTGGTGTTGCAAGCGAAATGTCTGTTGTCGGTCAGATAAACAACTGTGTGGATTTCCTGGCTGGAAACGGAGGCGAGTTGTAACCTACAATGATCAAGCAGTCATTGGCCCTCGAACATTGGCGAGAAAAGTACAACGTCAAAAGCGGAAAACATCACCTTCATTGGACGCTGGGGGATTATTGCGGAAAAGAAGATAATGATTACTGTGCTTTGGCTCTGGGGAACGAGTAGATTGTTGAATTTCTGTTATTTATACCAGAGGCCCCGCTCTTACAAGCAACCTAACACACCCAGAACGGATTTGTACGGTCGTGAGCCCCACGCATAAAGCGACACAAAGGTAGAGCAGCGAAACCTACATACAAACTTACACGAGATACGAGAAGAGAGGTGAACACGAAAGTCCTCATGGATCTGATACAACAGACGATGCACCTTGGGCTGCTATAGATGCTGCACCGAGAACATATCGATTCCCTTCCACCGACCGCCCATTGAGGCGGTGATGTACATGAATTTCGTTAGCGGTGGAAGCTGGGGACATTCCCACATAGTCATACCCTCGCGCTTAACACCGACCTTAAGTCCAACAGAACGATCCAGTAAAGCCGCATCGGCGTATGAAGATAAGGTACCATCCTGCAGCATCACTTGCTCCCCTGGAGTTTGTGATAATTCAGGTCTGGCTGGCACTTTTCTCGATCCTGCCTACGATGGGAAGGCCAAACAAAGAGGGCACCAAGAATGAGGTCTTTTTTTCGGAGTGTAGCTAGGTGTCTTGTTGGATGTTTAACCTCGGGAAAGCGCCAAGAGCAGTCCTCGGAGTAAATACACGATAACAAGGTGTCCACGATTCGGGTATGCATGTCCGCTTTTGTCCAAGTGATGCCCAAAGTACAAGCGTATGTTCATGGGAGTGATATAATCCGTCGGCTAACTGGCGAACTCACCATCCTTGACGCCGTTCACACAGGTGATTGGGAGCGCCAAACTTGAATAAGTAGTACACTCCTTCCAAGTCCGTTCGTGCCCAAGAACACGTTGGAGTACTCAGCACAAGCGTCATTGAGTGTCAATAATTATACTGATGTTCACTCCGGATGCGTCTCAAGAGGTAGAGGCTGTACTTCTCGAAGAACTATCTGCCGTAGATCCACGCAACCTTACAAGTTTGGTCAACGTCGATCTTGATCTCAACTGTAGGAGGGGCTGGGGGGGCTTTGGTGACGTATATTTGGGTGAATATCATAATTCCGTGCGTTCGCTCTTTCTTCGGGGATCAGCGTTAGCGCCCACTGACTTTTTACTTTTGCTTTCAGAACGTCTGCGTGAAGGTGCTTAAAGAAGTCCCTGTTATCAGCACAGACTGGCTTGGGAAGTTTATTCGGGTTCGTATCGTTTCCCTCCCTCTCCTTTGCCTTGGCCACAACCTTGCTCCTTTCAGCGGCTCAGACGAGAAGTCAAGGTTTGGCACAACTTGCAGCACGGAAATATCGTAGCATTTCTTGGCTGGACGCTACAGCGCGTTGTTGACGATAAATTACGTGTGAGCCTGATATCGGAGTGGGCTGAAGGTGGGAACGTGAAGGATTTCTTGCGCCGTAATCCACTTGGGGACCGCCCTCATCTCGTCAGTTGGTTGCGGATTTTTCAACTCCAAACTCCGTCGCTAATCAAGTCAGTTAGATTCGGGGAGCATGTCAAGGATTGGTTTATCTACATTCATGCGGTATAGTCCACGGAGACATCAAACCAGTGCGTTCAACCATAATTTCGTCCCTAGTACTGGTTTATTTACCGGTGACTGCAATAGGAAGTATATTTGTCCTGGGAGCGGATTGTAATGCACAATTATGCGATTTCGGGCTTTCCTCCATCCTCGACGATTTTACAACGCACGCCGAATCATCGAGCGTGATGAGCACTCCTAGGTACGCTTCCCCAGAACTGGTGGAGGCCATCATCACCGGGCGAAATGAACCCAGTGATGTTTGGGCTTTTGGGTGTACAGCTGCGGAGGTGAAAGTTATGCTCAGGAATATGAGCCCAAGGACTGATTTGTGGTTCAGATCCTCACCGACCAGATCCCGTATAAGTGGGTATCAGGCCCGTTCCAGCTTCCTTCGGCCATCTCCAAGGGCCCTCCTTATGAATGGAGCAATGTCGGTTCCGTTGAAAGGTGCCTTTCGGCGTGTTTCGAACCTCGCCCTGAGCTACGACCCAGCGCTGCTGAGCTCAACCATCTGCTTGAGCGGGTGCAGCGAGGGGAAACACTGACCAGCTTACCAATTGGGGAGCTGAGGATTAGCGGATCGATGAGTACAAGAGGTGGAAGGGTAGCGTCCCATTCCCCTTTCGTTACGTGTCAGAACAAAGCGGCGCGGCCTCGTCCGACATCAGAAACTTCGGAGTCCTCACTGCCAGGTGCCTCTAAGGAGAGAACAGAAGGAAGAGCCAATGGTATGTTTATGATTACCACTTATCTGACTATTTCAACTTATCTTATGGTTCCGCGTCGAACCCGCTGGATCCCCAGGGTGGCACAAATATTGGTATTGCGCCATATCCAACGACAGATGACATACAGCAACCCGCATCACCCACCCAATTGTCGATCACACTCTCGCATACATCGGTGTCTCCCACGCCAGGCACGCCGGACTCATCCACTACTGCCAACCCCACTATCAGCACCATCAGTCCCGGCGGGTCAGCCCCGCGTTCACTCGCAGAGCAACCGCCTTTTATACGCTATTTTCATAACAATCCTGACTTCGCTGGTATTGCAACCGAAATGTCCGTTGCCGGTCAGATAGGCAACTTTGTGAATTATCTGGCTAGAAACGGAGGTGAGTTGTATCCCACATGATGATACGGTTATTGGCCCTCAAACCTTGGTGAGAGAAGTTCGAGAGGAAAGGCAGGGACGAAAACGGAAAAGGTCACCTCTGTTGGATGCTGGGTTATCACGGAAAAAAGATGACGATTATTGTGCTTTGGTCTTTACCTGGACATAAAGGGCGAGTAGATTCAGATTGGCCAAAGCCTCGTTGAGTCTGTACACTTAAATCAGAAGCCCCACGCGTAGGAATACCCTAATACGCCCAGAATCAAACAATCAACTAAACAAACGGCAAAAGATGAGAAGCACGAACCCGGTAAGGCCAGCATTCGGCCTGCCTTGTTGCACCATCTGAGTATTTTTGCCAACAATATTATTCATGCGAGGGACAGACCCCCCAGGCATGGTGAGATCCGAGGGAATGGCTCGTATCTGAGTGGCACCAGGGGGAATTGGTTCGAGCGGTCGGAGATGGTCTCTTTGCAGCCATCCAAGGACCTCGGCAGTGCAGGGATGCCGGATGCCAAGTGAATCACTATGTAACTGGTGATGTCATGAATTTGAATCTTAATTAACGCAACCGCGCTCATGGTGAGTCATGTTCAATTGTAAACAAGGGCTATCCCGCAGTACATAAAACACCAGAAGCGCGGTACATACACAGCTATCCAAAGTGCGGGAGGAATGATGACCAAGACGGGGTTTGGTATAGACTAGGCGGAGGTGAACGCAAAGAACTGAGGGTGAGAACAAGGAGGATGACCCGCGCAACGGCATAAACAAGTAAAAGAAGTACCATTATCATAATACCCAAATCATCATCAACATGATCACTAAGCCATCTGGCCAACATTATAAAGACAGGAGCCACTGTAATATATATTGCTGAAACTCGCCATAAAATCATCTCCGTGTGGGTTGGAAAGGGAAATGACCATGCAAGGCAATGGATTCCCCCAAAGATCATCCCAGTGGCTATAAACATCGACATGACTTCCATATCCTTGGGCTCAGACACTTGCACGGACATTGGATCTGCATCAGTCTCCGTTTTAGGTGTCGGTTCATCGACATTTGTCTCGGAAGTCGGAGGAACGGAAGGGAACTCTTCCGTCACATGGATTGGGAATTGAATGTTAACGGGTTTATGCCACCACAACACATAAAGAAAGATGCATAATGCCGCGTACGCGAGCGTCATTGTCTCCAGTTGCGATCTTTGTAAATGGCTTGCCCACTGTCCGATGTATTGAGTGATAAACCATAGCAGCTGAACGACAATGATAAATTTGGAAAATGGGTCCCCTTTGCTTCTGTCAAGAATTTGTTTCTTTGTTATTGCGGCCTTCCTAGTATTCCCCGTCTTCTCAATTATGGCAGGATATTTCTGCAAGTCATCCACCGGCAATTCCAGTCCCGAGTCGACTCGGAAACCATCTATGACAACAAAGTATGAATGCGTCAGGGTCCACCCTTATGACGAGTAGTGTAGCAGCGGGCATCATCTTCGGGGGGATCCATTGCTTGGCATGGTCATTTCCCTTTCCAACACCCAAGGAGACCCTTCTGTGGTGGATTTCAGCGATAATTATTGTGGCGTGCCCTATTCCTTATGCCTTGCACATGTCGATACGATGGATCACTCTCCTCCCTGCAGACAATATTTATCGTTCTGCTCTTGGAGATTTTCGCTTTACTATAACTCATCGCCAAGCTACTGATGTTTGCTCTTCCGTAGTTGAACTATGTGGGTTACTCATGGAAGCCTCTTACATTATTGCCCAGATTATCTTGCTTGTTCTTACCTTCACTTCTTTGCGTTCGCCTCCCCCTGATCTTTACCGGACCCCATCTTGGACCTCATTTCTTCCACATCTTGGATAGATGTATGTACCGTGCTTCTTATTTCAATCTGTATGTTTTATTACCGTTGTTTACATTCGAATACGACGCAGATGCACCGTTACATTTGAGATTAAAAACCATCAGACCACAAGTTATGTAGGGATAAATTAAAAGACTCGCAATCCGTTTGATTTTCACCTCTCCCAGCGTTAATCACCTTTTCTTTCCCCACACCATTCCCTCCCTTTTCGTGCATGAAACTCGCTGCGGTTGGCAGGACTGGCAGAGCCGTAGGGGTGGGGACTTGAATGACATTGAAATTGAATGGAATAACTCCTAAGGGTTCATCATAAGCATAGCATAGTAGCACATGAACTTTAGTACCTGGCATCCCGGTGCTGCCAAAGCTCCACCCCTCGCCTGCTCAAAAGATGCGCCATCCGCAGCTGATCCCTCAAGCTCAAGTTCTTACCAGCATCTGGTGAGTGAATGAAAGGACTTCTTGAGCCCTTCGCTCTGCTTCCTGGGCAGTTTTTTACTAACTCCCGCTTTCACTGCCATCTTGGCCAAATTAACTGATCACTCTGCATGATCCGCACCGTCTCCAGTTCCCCAAAAAAGACGCCCAATCAAATGACTGATCATATTACACGGGCCAAGCTCCCCATGATGAGGCAGTCGTGACTCCGAGGATGAACCCAAATCGAAAAGGACCAGATCGGGGCCTTCTCTTCTTCAACAAGAACTGGAAAAAAAAGAAAAGGATGAAAGCGCCCTTGCCGCTCTTGAAAGCCAGGCTGAAGGATGTGCATGTAGAGGGACCTTCAAGCAACCGCGTGGGTGAAAATGATACAAAGCCCGAAGAAACGGGTGAGGATGGCGGGGAGGCTGCACTTGAGGTTGATAATGACACTAGTTGGATGAGCCATCGTTTGGAGTTCCCTAAGAATGACGAGGCTGAGATGCATCGTGCTGAACATGATTACGAGGTCATCGATCCTTGAGCCAAGGTGTGAGGAATACGCGAGGGGGAACAGGAACGAAAGAGGTCACGACGGTCCGAAGTTAGGCGAGCATTTCGGAAAGGGAGATAACTTATCGTCTCAGGTTTTACGGCGCCCGTAACATTCATCATCTCATTCAATCCATCCCATAAACAAGCCGCACTGAAGTATTCACCAATACCGGCAAGGTCCATATAATCAGCCAGGCGAGATGGAGAGATGGAAGGATGCGAGAAAGTGTTCAATGGGTGGTGCCGACATTGAAGGCTTGAAAATCACCTAGGGTGAGTAAGAATGGATGGCTAAACGAAAGCGACGATGACGCACCCGATGGGAGCCTCCAGAGTCCCTCGCATGTGAGGAGGCAGCGTCATCATCTTCTGCCCAATAGCAAGAAGAGAACCTGCCTTGGCCAATCGTCTCGCCAGCCTTCGGCGCCCCAGTCAATGGGGTCCCTAGCATGGCAGCTTGCGCAGGGGAATCAGTGCTCGAGGATTCGGGTCATTAGCTAGCATTGGGTCTTCTAGAGTGATTGTTGTACGACCGATTGTTGCTGGGGGAGGCTGGGGCAGGAAGGGGATTTGCAGGTTTGGAGGTTGATTTTGTGGGTGTGCTGAGGGCGATGCATTGGCGCTCACTCCTAGAGTCGGAGCCGACGAGATTTGTTTTGCAGGATTCCGTCGAGAAGAATTGGCCTTGACCCTTACTCATCGACATGTTGTCTCGACACCGAGTGTGTGTGATGGGTGCGGTGCCGGAGGGTGCAGTAGAAGCAGGATATCGTGGAGCATGTTGGCCCGACGATTGTCTCTGAGCTCGAGAGATGTCCACCATTTGCAAAAAAAACACACACATATCAGCTGGGATTAGGTGAATTCACAGATCTCGGACTGACTCGAACAATAATCCCTGAGTGGCCTCCTCGGAAAGGATTCCCATTTCATTGTACAGCGCTTGCACTGAATCTCTGAAGCTACGACAATAGTCAATCATGTAAATATGGAATCTATAGCATCCAGTGCCCGAGTAATTGTCGCGAACCCAAACTAGTGGGAGCACGGGAACGTATTCTCTGTCATCGTCCTAGTTGGAATGAGAACAGTTGCTTCACGGCAGTCCGCGAGCTCGACCCGGTAGTCATTGTGGTAGCAATAGACGGCGAGAACCGAAGCTGAGCCATGTCGTATGAAGGAGCGATAGATGGCCAGTGTCAAGGAAGGTTGTCGATGGCGTTGCCGATGTAAAGAAGCACCGCCAAGGTGATAGTATACGAAGTTATTCAGTACAACTAGGAGATGATCATTAGCGCGGTGTGGAATTCCCAGTACAGCTTAGAGTGGCCAGCGTCCTGTAAGTCATGAAGGATGTGCCAGACGCCAATAAGACTGGGGTTCATTCACCCTTTATGTAGTTTCTAAGAGAGAGGCCTATCCCCTTCGGGGATGTGGGGAAGGGACCTAACTCTACAATTTGCGGGGAATGCGTTTTCTCGCATCGAGTGTTAGGAGACCATGGCAATGACTGAGCCAACACTTCCTGGGGGGTTATATAACTATATCTAGTGCCCCAAGGGCCCGAACCGGCCCTGGTTTTCATGGCCGTGCACCATTGAAAGGAACAACTGGTATGTTATCGCAACAGTCAACCGCTTATGTAAAATCGTCGATTGCGGTGACTGAATCTAGAGTCAAATTTAAAATTTGTTCGAAGTGAATGACGCGCGGTAACTTAATTTCACATCGATGCAATTCGAAATCCCTGGAATTGCCGCATGGCTGATAACGAGCTGAACATCGGCAGTACCCCAGTTCACATTATAAAGCTTAAGTATACTCGACCTGTATTTGGTGCGCTTGTACCCCCATTCTACCAGATCTGATGGCAACAGCTCTTATCAACGTTCTTCTTACCTACAATGTTTATTCGGCGCCCACCCCCCCTCACAATACGACTTGTTTCCTGCAAAATGTATCTGATGATCCCCGGAATTACCGAATGATATGGGGCATCCTCTATAGCTGTCTCCTTACCGTATTTGCTTGCATTTGGACAGCAGTGCACCCAGATCTACCACAATCCTATGATGATGATGCCTCAGTGCTTATACTGCGCGCTGTCATGATGACCTGGTCACTGGTTCTACCGGAGTTCACTCTGGCGCTTGCATGGGACCAATTTTTGATATCTCGGAGAATATCAGAAAAATTCGAGATGGTTGAAGGTGTGCCCGGAATTTGAGGGGAAATGCACAAGTTAGGAAGGGATGCGCTGACTACTTGCCACAAGGGTGGACCTTGACGCATTCATACTTTGTTGTCATGAATGGTTTCTTCGACCCATCAGAAGGAAGCGTTGTGGGCCCGAATGACTTGCAACAATACCCCGGCATAATTGAGAACACCGGGGATACTAGAAAGGTCGCAATAACACAGAAGGAAATTCTTGACAGAAGCAAAGGCGATGCGTTTTCCAAAATTATCACTGTCCTCCAACTACTCTGGTTTATCACTCAATATGCCGAACGATGGGCAAACCATTTGCACAGATCGCAACTCGAGACAATGGCGCTGGCATATGTGGCATTATATATCTTTGTTTACGTGTTGTGGTGGGAGAAACCCGTCAACGCTCAATTTCCAATCCATGTGATGCGAAAGTCCCCTTCTGTTCCTCTGACTTCCGAGACAAATGTCGATCAACAAACACCTAAAACGGAGCCTGATGCAGATCCGATGTCCCTCGTGTGGGTGGATGAGCCTAGGGGGTTGGAATTCATGTCCATATTTGCAGCCACCGGAATAATCTTTGGGGGAATTCATTGCCTTGCATGGTCGTTTCCCTTTCCGACACGCACGGAGATGATTCTATGGCGGGTTTCAGCGATATATATCACAGTAGCTCCTGTCTTTCTATTTTTGATTTTTCCGATTGGATGGGTTGCAGGTGTCGCATGGGTTAGGGCATGGGTTGGGGATTGTGTTGCATGGCTTGATGATCATGTTCATGAGTCTATTCTTAAGGGCATAGTATTACTTCCTCCACTTGTTAACGCTGCTGCGCGGGTCACCCTGACTGTTCTCGCCTTCAGTTCTTTGCATTCACCTCCACCCAGCCCATACTAGACCCCATCTTGGTCATCATTCGACCCGCATTTTGGATAGTTGTGTATGTACTGCACTTCTAGTTAAAATTATGTCAGGGCATACACCCTGACCTAGCCCATACCGCATCCACACCCGCACTCGCACCCGCACCCGTGACTGCACCCGGCTGTTGCACTCCCCGCGCGCGCCCTGTGCCGGATGCTCAGTGCGGCCGGATGGCCCGGACCTCGGGTCTCGGGTCTCATGTGACTTCCGGATATCTCCGGAAGTTTTCGATGTATTGTGGCCACTGTGGGAAGATGAGAAGTTAACTTCCTTCTCATCTCTGACCCACAGTAGGCAAGTTGTATATACTTGCCTCTCTTTTATATATCATCTCTGACCCACAGTAGGTTGTGCCCTGGACAGGGCTGGTTACACTACAGGCTGTTGTCATGACCCGGCGTTCCCCGGGGCCAGACGACCTCCTCCCTGACCTTCTCCCACACCCGAACACTCCCTGCACACTCCGCTCGCCGCCCGTCGCCGTCTAACCACTTCCCGCCACCTCTCCACAACACCTTCCCTCTTTGTCGTTGAACGACCTAGCGGCGCAGAGCGCCGCGACCCGTTGTCCATGTTTCTCCGCACCTTGTTATCTCGCGGCGAAGGTCATGCTTGACCTTCGTTGTCTTGAGCACGTGCTCTTTGTTTGTTTTCCTGCTTCTTTTCTCCGCCCGCAATCTCCGCGAGATCTGGCGACTTATTCCTCATTCAGTTCCCTAGCGCTTATATACGGCTTGTAACTAATGCCTGTACTGTAGTTCGAAATCAACTAGAATTCACCCCCTAGGCTTACCTCTGTCCCCCGTGAGACCTCTGACTTTCTGAAGTATCGGGACCACGTCGAGAACGAGGCGCAACGCTCCTCCTCGAGTCGTTGAAGCCGAAATCCCGGCTCTCTCGCCTAAGTAGCCTCGGCCTCGAGATCAGTGGGGTTTATTCCTCGCTAAAGCTCGGTCGTGTGTAGGACGCCTATTCCACTAGCGGGCAACGCTCGGTCGCCTACGGCTACCCTCGGCGAAGATTCGCACGGTTCTGACAGCTGTGGACCATAGGGGAGGGTCATGGGGACCCGGGAGTCATCCCCTGACAAATTACAGGACAAAATTTACCTCTTCCAACATTTCTTTCCCCACTGCAACTGCATTCTTTGCCTCCCTGTACTGCATGTAATTATGTGCTTGATGGCAGTCCTACTTAATGCTTGTTTGTTAAAGATGACAGCAATTATGCATGTTGCTGTTGGTGGGACTAGGACCGCATTTTGGGTGACGTCAAATCAAATCGACTTGACATGGCTCCAAGCAGTGCATCAGTGCCAAGTTCCCCATCGGGATTTGGCATCAGGTGAGTAGCCTTGAGGCTTTGCGATGTGAAACATTGCTGCACACCATGATGAATGTGCGGCCTAAATTAAAAAGCAAAAAAAATCCTATTGATTACAAAAAAAAAAACGGGCCCGAGATAAATATGATAACTACTCACCACCCAAGTTTCATCTTGTTCCACCCAGCCATTGTTGAGAAAGGTCGGGGCAATGGTGTCAAACTTATACTGAGCACCATGATGAACACACAACCTAATTCAAAAGCAAAAAGAAATCCTATCAACTAGAAAAAAAGCGGGGGTCTGAGATAAGCACAATGGCTACTCACTGCCTGACTTTTGTTTCGTTCCACCCAGCTGCTGTTGAGAAAAGTGAGGGTGACTGTTTGAGTGCTGTGATAAGCACACAACCTAATTAAAAAACCAAAAAAGATCCTATTGATTAGAAAAAAAATAAAAAAAAACAGGGGGTGGGGGTTGAGATATATATGAGAGCTACTCACTGCCTGGCTTGTCATGCCATTCCACCCAGCAGTTGCTGAGGAAAATGTGGGTGACATGTTAAACCTATAACTGTCACGACCCGGCATTCCCCGGGGCCAGACGACCTCCTCCCTGACCCTCTCCCACGCCCGAACACTCCCCGCACACTCCGCTCGCCGCCTGTCGCCGTCTAACCACTTCCCGCCACCTCTCCACAACCCCTCTCTTGATTGTCGTTGAACGACCTAGCGGCGCAGAGCGCCGCGACCTGTTGTCCCATGTTTCGCCGCACCTTGTTACCTCGCAGCGAAGGTCACGCTTGACCTTCGTTGTCTTGAACACGTGCTCTTTGTTTG